AGATCTTGTAACTCGAACCCCCTTGAAAGGAATCCGCGGAGAGAGAGGCGGACCTCGTCACGCAACGCTCCCTTGGCCGAGACTAAACGCTGTTAGCATAGTCACTACGCAGGGCCGAGGATCAGAATTGACTCGCCAACTACCAGGCTCCGCTCGTTGTTACCCGTGCTATGATTCCCCATACCGGTTCGGGATGTGTCTAGCGCCGAGCTTTCTTACACCGCGTCGGTGGTCGTCCGGCCCTCTGCCACCTGCTGTTCTCTTAAATTAGCTTCCGCGCTGAGGATCTCCCAGACGCTAGGCACCCCTGGGTGGATCGTGAAGCGTCCGTGGCTCGAGGTCTCCGTTTCCATTTCAATGCCGTTGTAAATAGACATATAGAAGATCTACTCGCAAGGCGTCTGTCAGCTGCTTTCCTCGGATATGTGGTCAACGTACATAGCTTTCTCCTGCGCCGTCTGCGTGAAATAGATCATTAATGGTCGGCGTGACAGCCTGCCGTGCGTCTGCAGTAGTCAGCGAGGCACCCAACGTCACAGCACGCCTTATACCAATGTTGTTGACATGCCATAGTACGTGAACGCGCCTTGTCTTACGCTGGCCCCGCGATGGTCCTTGCACGAGCTTTTGGAGGTGGGGAAGAGCGGCCGCAATGCTAAAATCCTACACGAAGAAGAGAACATGCTTAAAGTCCCAGACCCGCAGGCTTAAGCCGTGAGGGCCACTGAACAGCATCCTCGACTGGACGGACATGTCTCTGTGTAGCTCGGCCCGGTCGTGGAGGCGGCTAGTGAACCCTTGCCGCCGCTGGATGAACAGCTCGAACCGCCGGACTGGGTACGGCGACCAGGATATGATGGTGAATGGGTGGCTGGAGAACAGGGATACTGAAGGAACCCAGATATTGACGTACTGGCCCGCGTCGATGTCTAGCGGCCTGGACACCGTGATCGCTGCCTTCACGGTGCCGTGACTGCTCGTGACGACGATACGTGGCAGTGGTAGCCCTAGCTGCTTGTTATAGAGGATAGTGCGCCCTAATTGAAACAACGTGAGAGCGCTAACGAGGCCCCCATACGCATACAGGAACGGCCACCAAGACCATGCTATCGCTCGTAGGTGTATGATCGTACACGCCGCCACGCCGCCAGCTAGTGCTTGGTGCAGCCGTACGAAAAGCTCGTAGTACCGCCGGCGTAGGATAGGACCAATCAATGTTGACAGGAGTAGAAGACCGGTGGCCTATAATGCGTGCTCGTCAGCCGGAGTCCGTCCAAATTCCACCAGATCACTCACTATTACGGGATACACATCAACCGAGTTGTTCCTTTCTATGGAGACGCCGCGCGCTACGATAACAATGCTATGCACAACGACATACACTGTGGTTATGAAACCGCAGGCCCGATGGATAAGCAAAAATGTCCTCAGTCGGAGGCCGAAAAGGTCAGCCAAGAAGCTCAGGTGCATAGAAAGAAGCAGTGGCGCCGCGTTCACGAGAGCGAGCTGTCCTGCTCGCGACATATATAAGCCTGTTGACTGGGCCCCGACGCAGAGGCCTGCCACGTTGCTTGCGACGTAGACCACGTGCGTCAGGGTGAACCACACAGTCTATAGCCCTATGAGAGAATGGCGACCGATGGTGAATCGATGAAAGACGAGCTTCCGGATCTGCAAGAGCACGAGTCCAAGACCGCGACGCAGAAGAGGCAAGATGCAACTAATAACAAAGAGTGATGCGAAGAATAGACCGGTATAGATTGCGTAGAATGCCGGTGGGCTGACTTTGTCGATCATATTCTCCCCTCCTCTCCGTGGTGGTCGACAAGGAGGGCACGTCACAAAGTTCTATCAAGGCCTATCTTAAAGACGAAGCTCTGCAGTCGAAACTAGACTGCGCCAGCCACTTCCAGGCAAAGCCCCACGTCTCGACAGGAAGTGGATTCTACGGCCCTATGGTAAGCATCTATATACGATCGAATGTCTGCGCTTCGGTCGTTTCATGGTGGCAGAGAGGCATCCCCAATGCACGCTTTACGTGATCAAGCTACACGCAATGCCGAGGTCTACTATAGACTGCGGCTCGAGGACAGGAAAGACGAGGCGCGCGCGCTTGCGGCGTGGCAGACACAGAAGAACAGTCTGTCATCCGACCACGCACGGCGCTGCGTCCGCGGTCTGCTGAAGAATACCCTTTTGAAGGAGGCCCTCGACCCTCTCCTCGATATACCCGGTATGCGGTCGGGGCTACTCATCAGTACCAGCGATGGAACGCTTAATGCAGCTGCGGGGGCGACTAGGTGATCGAACGCACCAAACTCCCTGCCCTTGATTGGTGTACGCCACAATGGGCTGCGACCCGCAGCCAAGGGTTATTGACGAGAGTAGAAGATGATCAACGAAACTTCTTTGAGTGCAAAGGAGACAGGCCAGGGTCATCGGCCAGGGTATAATCAAATCGAAAGATGATCAACGAAGCTATGTTGAGGGTGGAGGAAACATATCAGGGGACCCGACTAGAGCAATGCCGGAAGAGGAGACGGTCAGCCAAGCTAATTGGGGTGTGGAAGAGACAGACTGGGGCTCCTGGTAGTACCCTGGCAAGGACTCGGTCAAAAGTGGATGTAGTCGACAGCTCTATTCAAGGGTACCTGGAGCTCTTCAATAAAAAAAGGAGCGCTGTCAAGTACATCCGCTTCTGACTGGGTTCTTGCCATGGGGCCTTGAGACCGGCGCCCTTGTCTACTAGTATCGAGGGGCTGTCAAACATGCTCGGCGCAGCACCGGCACAGCCTTCTTCCAGTATTGCTACGCAGCGTATGTAGCGCATATCGTCGATGGTAGGATTCCGCAGTCATCGACCAGAGTGAAGAGGAAGTTCGAGGTAGCATCCAGTGTTCCGTCTGCGGCCAGTTGTCATCGGGCGGTTAGCGGACTTCTGAGCATCGAGTGGAGTTAAATCCAAAGCACAAATTGCCGTAATGAGGAGTAGAGAAACGCAGTTATTATAACATCAATTTTCACGGTCATCATTTCCGATTTTTTACAAGAAGTAGCGTTCCTCCCAGATGCATGTCATGGGAAAGGGCGGGGGGAGGGGAGGCATGAAGTTGACCGGCCTCCCACAGCCGCGCCGAACCCTTTCGAATGTCAGACACCGCCTCATTCTTAGGCTCACGTACAGCCAATGAATATCTTGGTTCAGTTTGATAAGGTGTCATCTTGAGGTTGCATGTGGAATCTCCTTGGGTTGAGGAGAGTCAGGTCCTTAAATAATCGCACGGAGCAGCCCCCTGACGCTCGAGACTCGACGACTCCATAGTTAGGTAGGCCCCTTGGCTCCAATGCTCATGAGATAGGTCTCCGTCCCCAAGGGTTCGTAAGCATGAGGGTTTAAAGAATTCTATCTCCACAGTAATCGCGTAGATTTGGGTCCTGTGAGAGCGCGATGTGACGAGATACTTCTCTCGTCATCTATCCGATCGCATGTCCTGGTTCAGGCGGCAGCAGACCGCCGCTTCGATGCGAAGCCGAAATTCCGCATGATTGATGTAGTTGACAGACATGGGCATCTCGAAAGAGAACATCACATACCTCAATCGCCATGGCTACTTCGGCCGGGTACCATTCACCGCCTCTATGGAGGAGTTCGATGTCGTCGAGCCCGCACGAAAATTGTAGCCTGTGGACCTATTCAAGTATCCGTTCATGGTAGAAGTGGTCGGGGCCGGCTTTGATAAGCCCGCGAACACTGGATACCATTCCCTGCGATTTCCGCGAGTACTGAAAATTCACGAGGACCGCTCCCTTCAGGATGCCGTTAACTTTAAGGAGCTGCAGAAAATGGCGCAAAGCTGCCTTAGGATACCTGAAAATGGAGGACAGGAGGAGCAACGTTGGTCTAGGAGGCTGCGTGGTTTTGAGACCTTGTTTGACAGGTCGAGGACTGCCTCTCCCAGCGACAGCGACGTGTCTGGCGCAGGTATGTGCAGACAGTCTCGTCAACCGGCAAGAGATTCTGGTGCCAGCAGAGTACAACTGTCTAAGCACGTAGTCCATATCCACTTTGATTAAGGGGGAAGCCACCGAGCGGTCTCCCTCCTCCGTCGACCACCCACAACGACTGAAAGCTTTTCCTTTACGCACTTTATGCAGTTCCAACTACTTCCCTTCAAAATGTCGTCCAGATCGCTGATCAATGATTCGTCATCTAAGACTACATACCTGGTCTGCGGCTTCACTCACTAGCGGTGGGGAAGATCAAAGGGTATTGCTTCGCACCCGATGCCGTCCGTATCGAGATTACGGGAGACATTAGAAGACGTGGATGCCGTGCGCGACATAGTCCATCCCTACCTGAGCCAATCACGAACCATTATTCTGGCAGTACTCCAAGCCAGTAACGATATAGCTACCCAGACAATCATCAAAATAGCGAGAGAGCATGATCCACACGGCGAACGAACCATTGGCATCATCACAGATCCAGACCCAATAAGGGTACAGAAGAAAAGCTTGTCCGGGTTGCGCACAACGAACTGAATCTCTTAAAAAGACCCTAGTCCCGAAGAGTTGAAAGAGAATCCAACGATAGCAATGCGGTCGCGCTCTGAGACATCTTTCAAGCGTGGGCGGGCATTAACTCGGATCATGTGGACGCCCTTTGGATACTCACTTAGAGCGAGAGCTTCCCAAATTGCAGAAGGAAATGAAAAAGAAACTTGTACGAACCTTCATGAGGATATTATACACATAGGTCAGGAGCTATCTCAGGTGGCCGTCTCCTGTTTGAACGCGAGATACCCACCCGGCGCAAACCCTACCGAAGTAACGCAGTCACCGTGATCCCACTTGTAGGGGCTAATCAATAACAGGCAATTTGTGATTATTAGATCTTGAATGCGAAACACGCTGAAAGTTCCTCAATAGGTGTTCGCAGTCTCTCAAGCGCTCAAGAGGCTCCCATGTATTTTCACTATCCGCATAATTCTTCCATTTAACAAGATATTCAACTCTTCCGTTAATAGTTTATTCAGCGACAATTCGTTCCGGCTCGCAGATTTCCTGTATCTTCGCTCTCTGAAATATTCGCGTGTGTACTGATCCAATTTTCTCACTTATAAATAAGCGGAGGATGCGTGCTTCAAGCATATTTTTTTCTGCTCGAGTTACTTATTCAGCGGCTATGTTTCGAGACTATAACTTGCGTAAAAATGAGTTATCGCTGGCCTCGCTGCTTTTATAGGCTAGTTAAGTCACTGATAATCTCGCGACCTAATCGTCTGTTTTGTAATCAATCTAGTATAGGAGGTGCCGTTTTAAGGCCAAAGGGATCCAAGCTAATAGTAACTACATCAGCTTTAGGGAATTCCGCGGCACCTTTGTGCCCAAACGGCTTCTTCCTCATACTGACAAGAAGATTTGTAGGCAATGTCTTAACGCTGCGAGTCAAATTTACTAACTACAGCGAGTTCTATTTCTCGAATTACGACGATATCGAGGAACTTACCCCAGGGATCGACGTCGATAGAATAACCCACCGCGGCGAGCACCGACCTACCCTAGGTATCACAGCATAGGCTAACACAAGAGCGCAATGTAAGAGAGCAAATTTCAACCCCAAAGGAGTCTTACAATACGGCTTTCTGCTATAACGCACAGCACACGCGACAATGCCCATTCATCAAGCCCGGCAATTATACAAAATACTACTCACACCCAGCTCATCCTCCTACGTGGTGTAAGGAGCCTCGGGGTAGCGATATTCGTTCACTCTTCTCTCGACTCATTCACGCCAAGAAGAGCATCTGGAGTAGTTTTCAGCCGAGTAGCCGAGCTTACGTGCTATCTACAAGGCCTCTCCTTTCTTTCGAGTGTAGAATGTGCTGCACGAAGAGTCAGCGCACTTGGCCCATAAATTCAATTCCTCTCTAACTGACAATAGGGAGTCCCCGTCGAGCTCTTCGTAGATAGCGAAGGGCGTGTCGAGTTAGATCTTCATTCCATGCCAGGCATTTGCTTCTTTAGAGCAGTGAAGTACGTAGCGTCGTTTTTGCACGACTTTATATTCCTAAAGACCGCCTGCATTTGGCCAGACCTAGATCGAATTCAATTTATAGATATTTCTTCTCTATTTTCCGCCTGCTAGTATAAAACTCCCGATACGTATAGAGCCAAAGCCAATATACATATAAGGATATATAATAAGCCACAACAAAGCTTGTCACTACGGCGCTGAAGTTTCTCATCATACTTATACTTTAGGTAAGGCCAGAACAGACAGTGTTCTTATAGCCCTCTACCACATCCCTTGACAAGGTGCTCCAGTCCCAAAAGGGTCTGTTGAGCCTGCTCACCCTCCCAAATATCTTCCCATTCTAGGAATACTTTAAGGAGGTGGTGACGCGGCATATCCTTTTGTCCCCCCGCGTTCGCTATTTTAACGGCAAGGTCATCGCTCGTGTCAATGCAGTTATTATCCCAGTTTTGAAAGCAGGATTGGCTTAACTCGCACTTGTCGGACCACCCATGATCAAAAACCGAATAATACGTAGGCTTGCGGCCTGGTGTTGGTGTCCGTTGGCATTGATACTAACAGCCGTCTCGAGTTATTAACCCAGGCCTGGCCTTAAACGACTCGGGCCGGTAGTCTGACAATGTAGGTGGGCCTGCGAAATACTTAGTTTGAATGATTGAATGGGATATGTCGGAAATAACTCGTCGCACCTAACCACTTGGCCCACTAAGCCCCACGGAGAAGCTGTTGTAGTGTCTCATAAGTTCTGAAAGCTTGTATATCCGTAGCCCAGTCCGAAGAATCCGTCGGAGTGACTCTTATCCAATGGCGCGAGTCTTTTTGACCACCGTAGTCAACCTGTCCTAGATGAATCTCGACCTTGCAACTATCGAAATAATACATTCCTCGGTTAGACAAGGTTCCGAAGCAGGGTTCAGTACTATAGCAACAGTCCGAAGTGTCGTGATAGAGCTCGGTAGCATAGAAAGCCTGAGGATGTCGTTCCTCACGGTATTATACCCATCCACCACTATAGGTTATGAGTCCTTCGAGAGTTTTAGGCGATATTTCGACGTGAATTAGAAAATGTTTCTTACAGACTGGAACTGAGAGAACGAGCTGAGAAGGAGGTTTATATAAGTATACCACGAGGCCACCCGCCCCGAGAAAATATGCCTCGGCAACCCAACGTCCACTCTGACGAGGCACACTGTGAATCTATCTACAGCTTTGATTGGCGGTTCTCGTTTACCTCGGATTCTCGTGCAAAGTATGCGGCCCATCCATC